GTGAAAAAATGAAAAAAAAAAAAAAAAAAAAGAAAGAAAGAAAAAAAGAAAAGAAAGAAAGAAAAAAATCCAGGCTCCTTGGTCATTCATCCATCTGGGTATTCTTAGTGATTTGAAACTTAGATTAAAACTCCCATGGGAGATTAACTTAATGTGCTATTGAGTGTCAGACAGTATCTGTTCCAGTGACCCAGTCAAGAGTGTGTAACAACGATTGGCTGGTGCTGGGACGGCAAATTCTCTCAGGTGGTAGGCGTAGCAGCAAAATGCCATCCTCATATGATCAAGAATGGGACAACTTTCCTGCCAGCACTTCAGAATCAGCACTGTAAGGGATGCAGAAATATGGGCCCATGGAGGTGTGGGAACGTGACTCCCATGGGAGAACCAGCAACACCAGACCAGCGGGCAGAGATGGACAGAGACAGGAAACAAGGACCATCCCAGTGTTTTCCTTTGGGAGAGGTGGAGTCACTGAGAGGAGAGACCTCTGTTCCTGGGGATATGGCCCTCATGGATGTGGATTGCTAGCTACCAACCTCACTGAAGGAATGCACACTGGGAAACCTGAGGTTGAGGGTGCGATTCTGATTCCTTTCATCTACTCCCTTGCCAAGGATGGTACTCCCATTGTGTCCAGTCCCCAAATGGGAATGATGAGCAGATATTAAGATACAGATTTTTTTTTTTTTTGGTAGAGAGATTTTTGCTAGAGGCCACATGTGCTCACTGGAGAGACAGAAAGCAAGAAATCACCCCTCGGGGAAGTGGCCATGCCACAATACCCTCTCCTCCATTTTCCTCTCAGGATTTTGGGTACACACACCCACCCACACACACACACACACACACACACAGAGTGAGTTTTAAGCCACCAGCTCCAGGACTCAAACCACAGTCCAGCAATAAAATCTTACACCATCTGCTAGTCCCAATATTCAAAGCTTTCTTTTTTTTTAAATATTTTATTTAACTTTATTTATTTATTTTAATTTGAGCAGAGAGGGACAACACGAGAGAGAGAGAGAGAAAGTGAGAAAGCAAGCCACCAGGTCCAAGACTTGAACCACAGTTGGCCATGTGGGAGTCCGGCACCTCAACCACTGCACCAATAGCTGGCAACCTTCAAAGGTCAGGCCCTGAGTCCTCGCTATTGCTGTACAAGCTTATCCCATCTCTCTAAGCGTCTGTTTCCTAATCCTTAAAATGGGGGTGGAAGCTGTAGTACCCACCTCAGTGGGTTTTGTTTTGTTTTGTTTTGTTTTGGAGAGTTTTTTTTCACTATAGGGTGTGTGTGCTCACCAGAAAGACAGAGAGAGAGAGATAGAAAGCGAGAAATCACCCCCCAGCAGGGACGGCCATGCCGCAATCCCTTCTCCTCCATTCTCCTCTCGGGATCTTGGGCACACACGCATACGCACCCAGCGTGAATTTAAGCCACTGGGTCCAGGACTTGAACCACAGTCGACAACGTGGGAGTCCAGTGACATAGCATTACACTAACTGCTGGTCCCTCACCTCAGTGGGTTTTTATGAGGACTGAGGATTGAATAAAGCAACAGATAAAATAGGTACTGCAATAACAAGTAGAGTCCTCCATGCTTACTTAAGTGATTTACAGATTTAGTGTTTTCTAGAGTTTCTTTTGCTAAGATTGACTGTTTTATATCTTTTATAAATATTTGTTTCAAATGCATTTGATATTTTGTAAAATAAAAAAGCTCAATTTTTTTTTTTTTTTTTTGTAAGTTCAACCTAGCATTGCAGTATAAGTTACTGGGTTGACAGAAAAGTCATGACATATTTTCTGTTTTTCTATGTGGAAATGGGTCATGGCTTTTCTGACAACCCAGTATTTTAAAAGTAAAATCTGGTGTGGCTTTTACCTGCATTTTGTGATTTATGAGCATACTCGGAGCATATTCATGGCTTGCTGCCTTATGCAACTGAGGATGCATGTTGGGATTTTAGATGACCCCTCTGGGCATTTTTTAAATTTTCTTAAAAATAATTATTTAATTTCATTTATTCATTCACTTACTTTAATTTTATTTATTCATTCATTTATTTTAATTTGAGTAGAGAGAGGCATTCAGAGGGAGAGAGAGAGAAAATGAGAAAGCAAACCACCAGGTCTGGGACTCAAATCATGGTCTGCCATGTGAGAGTGTCCAGCACCTTAACCATCATGCCTCCTGTTGGTCCCCTAGGTGACTCTTTAGTAACTAGGATAATTTTTCCCACTCCGCTCTGCCTGCTCCTTCTCACGCATGTGGGAGACTGAAGGGTGAAACTTTGGAGATGACACATTATTAACTAGCAACTCAAATGTTAACCAGTCACCAACTGTTTCTTGTAAAAATCCCAGAAAATGTCTGCGTACCCCTTAAATATCTGGCTTTGGCCAACAAGTCACTTACCTGAATTATCAGCCTTGGCTCCCTGGGCTCTAAACTAGGCTCTCGGGATGCAGGATGAATGAATGGACCGGCAGGTTATCAAAAAAGCGTTAGCTGGGTCCAGTCCCCATCCCCAACTCCTCCCCGGAAGACCTGCTTCTTCTATAGTAACTGATCACAGAGAAGGGACGCCTTATCTCTTACAGACTCACACCTAGCCAAGAACCAATTGTATTCCCTGGAGTCTACGCTACAAGGGAATTCTAACAAGGATGCAAACTCCTAGAAAACAGGGATCATATATTTGGTCCATTCCCTGTAGATCCAACTCAATGTTATCCCAGACAGTGA